GACTTGGAGAAATCCTGCTTTAGAATCTACTTCATTGCTGGATTGTGCAAGATACCATCGTAAAGCCATGAACCCACCCTTCACAAGGGTTACCTATGGATATCAGTGTGGTATGGTTTGATGAATTGTTAATCATTGGAGATGTCCTCATTGGGGAGATTCACTCTCACCCTCTGTCTTGGTGACTCTTGTCACCAAGTCAAAAAAGGAGCAGAAATCTGACATTTTGTAGGTGTCACTGGGACATTCCACTGCAGAAAACCAGTTCCGATGTGGGATTTCATCTCACTTCCCATTGGGGGAGATTTACTAAAATTGGTACACTCAGAATCTGATGCAACAGTACATGGTAGCCAACCGTCTTTTAACATCACCTTGTTCAATTAAGCTGACAATAAAACCTGGAAGTTGATTTGTTTCTATGCAGAGTTGCACCAGATTTTGCACTCTCCAGTTTTAGTATATAACTCCCTTTGCATCTCTGGAAGATGAAGTGAAATCTCCCCAGTGGGGATACAAACAGCAATGCAAATCTGTAACACAGAACAAAAACAAAAGCGCACCAACCTTGCGCATTAATAACCAATAATCTAGTGCAGCGCTAAATGAATAATAACCAAACATCAAAACTTGTAAATAATCAAATCATGCAAATAATCAATTGAATAAACAATAATAAAGTGATACAAAACACAACACTCTACATACAAATGAAGTGCCACAATGTGCTCCAACACAAGTGTTCAAAAAATATGTGACCTGGGGTCCTGATACAACTTCAGAACCCGTGCACTAGTACCACTCTATATATGTGTATCACTACGTATATTTAAAGCAAACCCCCAAATATATAATACAAAAATCCTATATAAAAACACACTTTATGTGACCAGTGAAAAAGTGATCAAATTGACTCAAATATATAGCTTCAAAAAAATTTCACTCAAATAAAGCTCATAAATCATCCAGATGGTGCTCCAAACATCAATAACTCATGCAGAGTGATAAAAGTGATGGTTTCTGTGATGGTGTCAGCACACTTATCCTCCCTGGCTAAAATGCCCCCTCACCTCCACTCTGCGACCCAATGGGCCACTAAGCCTCCAGGATCACTCCTAGATCCTTCTCCAATACTGGCTGGTATCCTCAGTACTTCTGTAGTTCCCCTCTCAGGTAAGTGATATGCACTCCAGGCCTCTAAGGATAGGTACACCAGCTATATATATCCCTCACCATGAACCATGGTAAGAGAAAGAAAGATCCTCCATAGTGCAGTAATTTAGGTAAATCAGACTCTTTTTAATAAATAAAAATGCCCCACTCGCTTGGTACAAGTAAAGTCACAGCATGTAAACAACCTCATGCCTGGGTGTCCTGCATGGGTTAGGACTCGTCTGGGTGTGCTAAGATGGCATCCGCGCTGGATGTGCATCACCGTGGACCAGAAGCTTTGTCACGGCATATCTACGTGTTACATCACTAAACCACGTGACTTCCTCAGGATACTGGAGACTTCATCAGCCCCACGGCGAGGGAGGATTTTTTACTCTTGCTGGTGTTGGGCTTTAGGGCTTTTCCTCCCTACATCTTTTGCCCTAAAGCAGAACTACAGATAAAAACAATTAAAAAAATTGTAAGCAGGTAAATTGTGTTTTAATAAGAGAGACATTATAAGTCTCTGTGCAAAAAAAAAGAAAAAAAAAAAATTACATTTTATGTTATCAATTTTTTAATTCATGGACACTTTGTGCTTACAGTGCATGAGCAGTGCTGGGGTGATGAAACAGTACGCATGCACAAGCCATACATCATCAGTGGTTTTCCAGTAACAAATCCCAGAAGACCCCAGACACATAAAAAAAAAAGAGAGGAAGATGTCAGCAGCCCTTGACACAGTGATTAGGGGGGCACAGATAGTGCATTGCTGCAGAGGAGCATAGTAGTGAATAAGTTTGCCATAATGTAAAGTATGGAAAGAGCTCTGGTGGCCTGCCAGTGCATTTAATTCTGCTTTAAAGAATGTGTAAACCCAGTATTTCATATTCCTGATGTGTACCTGCTGTAGCATATACTTGTATAGAAAACTATCCTGCTCTCCTTGTATTGCTTTCTTTCTGTGGAATCCCTGGTGTTTCTGCCAGTCCCTCTGCTTTCTTATTAAAAACTGACCACACTAAACAAGAAATGTTTTTTTTTTTAAAGCTATACACAAATGTTTTGCCTTTCATTTCTATTTTATATTGAATGGGATGTTTTACAAGGCAAGGGTTTACATATTCTTTAATGTTAGGATCATCAGTCACAATTCTAGTTTATACCTGTAGAACCACTTGCCTTTTGATCCTAGCTATTCAGATGTAATTGTTCACTACAAAGGTATGGGCAGATGACTGGAATTAGTAATATGAATCTGAAATAGAAGTATACATTCATCCTAAAACTCTTTAACAATAAGGAGCATTATGTCTGTTAAGTTTCCCATTTATCCCGGTCATAGAAAACCTAGTAGTAGTTAGTCATATGTAACTGGACCTGTTCTGTAATGTTAAAAATAGCTGAATGAGAGTTACATGTGTGGCTTTTAATGTCTGTCTATGAGTTACCTGTGTGGGTATAAATGATGGGGTATGTCCCTGACATTCAATTCAACTGAAGAAACCACTTGGATCAATGGTGCAATGTCTTCGGCATTACAGAACAAGTCCAGCTGAATGTGACAAACCTACTAACCTTTAAAGAGCACGAGTTCTATATTTTAACTGTTTCTTTTTTCATCTAAAGGATATAAGTATTAGCTATGGACTGTTTATTCAAAAAACAACAATTGATTTCTTATCTGTAGGTTGTACAGGTTAAACTCAGCAGATACCCACTGCAAATTTTCAGTTTGGCCAATGGATGGGTGATGGCTTAAATTCCAACCTAAAGCCCTGTACACACGATCAGGAAATTGTATGAAAATGCCACTTTCAATGCGACCGTACGATAATCTGATAGTTAGTACACAGCAATCGTCCAAAAGTTCTTAAAGGGACAAGCACAAAAATGTTTGCCGTACGATACCAGATCATACCGTTTTCATTTAACCAGTACAATTTTCGTCCGAAAATACAATACAAATACATTACATCACTTCCAAAAATTTTTATTCTGTCATAAGAGAATTTTCGTAACTTTAGTAACCTCTTCAGTTTTGATATGAGACTAGCATACAAAAAAAAAACCCAAAATGGACAATTATTTGTCTGATATTCCCAACATGGGCTAAACAGTCTTAAAAATGTTCCCTCCTCCCTCCAGCTACCTATCCTGTGTGAATAAAGATGTGTATACATACCTATTTTGAGTCTTTTGTGGTCCAGTCATGTGATCCAGCTCTCCTGTGTCAGCTAGCGGCTGCTGCAGGGAGAGGAAGAGGGGAGAGCTGACAATGGCTGAGACATGGGAGCCTTTGGGTCACATCACCACTCCTAAAATTGGCAGCCATTGTTGAGCACAACTAGACTGGAATGGGCTGAGAATAGGTAAGTATACACCATATTGCCAAGAGTATTCATGGATGTTAACCCAAGATTAAGGTACCTACATACTAATTATCTATTCAAAGGATCTACCTGTTCTTTAGGTAAGTATACAGATCTGTTTTACACAGATTAGGCAGTACAGTTAGCAGGAAAGATAAAGGAACATTTTTAAGACAAGATAGTGTTAAGCCATAATTCTACTTTAATCAATTGTTAATTAATTGTTAGGCTGCAATTCTACTTTATTTGTTAATACACACTCTAGTCAGTGCAACGCATGTCCAAATCAGTCATATTGCTTGCTTTCACCAGAAGCGCTTGTCCCTGCAGTGCTTATTTTATGCCACAAGATGTCCTCATTCAAAAATGTAGCACAATATACTGCCGGGGTCCCTCCAGAGTAGGGAACGGACTGTTCTCTGGATGACCGCGGTTGTCCGAGATCGGAGTGTGGGGGGGAAGTGGAGTCTATGGACCACTTCCTGCTTCAGTGCCCCTTCAATATACAGGTGTACAAAGTGGTGGGGAGGGCTCTAGGCATCCCTTTTCTGTGCCGCATGTCTTATGCGGAGTGGGTGTATGGAGCCTTCGAGAGACGTGTGGGCTATGATTTGAGCACGCTTTTCTTAGTCAGTTTAGTGACCCGGTATTTCACGTGGAACGCACGGTGTCAGGTTTCCTTACGGCAAAAAGTCCTTCCTGTCGTGGTGGTGGTGAACGATATTCTGGGTGCGGTTGGGAAAATTCAGGGTCTTGAGAGAGACCGGTTGCAGCCCAAGGCCTGGATGGAGGCATGGAGGAACATCAGGACTGGGTGGGTGGCCGGTTGATCTCTGGGTGAGGTTCTGTCCTTTTCTTACTGTGTGATTCACGCCCCTAGATTTTTGAGTTTTGATAGGATTTTTGAAGAAAGGTTTAGTCGGAAGATCTCTACCGCTTAGTCTGTTACGTGTGTGAAGTAGCTATGTATATATACGTATGTGTCTAGTATTTGGATGTTTATATGTATTTGGCTGATACTGTGCTATGTTAGGCATTTTTGGCCCTACATGGTCTGTGGGTTTCTTTCCACAGGATGATGGACTTTTTAGGCCAGAAGGCCTTGTTTTGAGTTTCTACATGAACTTTGGCCTGAAGGCCATATACAGGTTTAACCCTGATTTTGGATAATTTGGGATGTCTAACCAGTATGGTTAATTATTTAATTTTGTAGTTTTGTAAAAAATGTTTTTTGGATGCGAGAAATTGTGCAATAAAACATTTCCAGAGTAGGGAACGGGGGTAACTGGAGAGGTGGATGACTGAGCCTGGATTTGGGCTTTAAAGTTAAGCTTTACTGTATTTTTACCCCATACAGCGTCCTACTGTTGTGTAAACCTAACAAAAGTTTACGTTGTGATCAAATTATATGTGCATACACATTTGTGCCTTTTGTAGTTCCAGTGTTTATAGTTTATATTGTATCTATTATGTGAGGATTTCCTTTACCTTAGAGCAAGGGTCTCCGAAATATGGTCCATAGGCCCAGGAGGGACTGATAACTCATGGGGCCCCCGGGCAATAGGGGATCATGGGGCCCCTGTGTCCTTGCCCAAACTCAAAAAAGCCTATGAAAAAAAGGTACCAGGGGAATCTCATGGGGCCCCATACTGACCCCGTCCCCTCGGGCAGTGCCCGAGTTTCCAAATGATCAGTCCGCCCCTGCATAGGCCAAATGTTGCTTGCTGAAAGGTTTTATCTGGTCCACAGATAGGGTCAGTGGCCTCTCACAGAGGTCTCAAACAGCCCTTCAGGTCAGCCAGTGGCCTCTGTTCCTCTCCAATATCCACGACCCACCTCCAGTCTTCAGCACAGGTTCCACTGGCTGCACTGTCACTGTAACATTGGCTACAACCAACATTGGTTGCTAGGACCACCTGTGGCCTAACAATTATGTAAGTTCCACTTATATCAGAGCCCCCTTTACATCAGAGTCCTCCCTACATCAAAGCCCCCATAAGAGTCCCCCCTTACATGAGAGTCCCCATCAGAGTCCCGCCTTACATCGGGGTCCCTGAAGTTAGATAGGACTCTGATGGCCTCAAGTTTATTTGGAATTCCTTACTTTATTTTAGTGATGTTTTTCCTCTGTTCTGAATCATATAACATTGACTCCAATTTTTTGGAACTATTATCTCTATTATTATTATAAAACAAAAATGTAAATATTTCAATTTTATTCATTTAATTATGAACCTGATTCTGTAGGGGACTGAGAATATTTGTAAAATACAGTATATGATGTGGCTCCAATACTAAAAAGTTTGGAAACCTCTCTAGTGTGAGCTCTTCTCACTTCCCGTCGTGTCTCTAAACAGTGAAGAAAGGAAAATCTCCCCAATGGGACACAGAAAGCAAAAATCTGTTATAGGTTTTAACCATTTGTTACTCCAAAATGTAATTTTTTTTTTTTAGCTTTAAAGTGATATTAAAAACTTAAATGGTTTATTTAATTTAAATAACAAACATGCCATTCTTACCTACTCTTTGAAGTGGTTTTGCATACAGCAGCCCTGATCCTCCACTTCTTGGGTCCCTTGCCAACGCTCCTGGCCCCTCCCTCCTGCCGAATGCCCCCAAAGTGAGAAGCTTGCTATGGGGGCACCTGAGCAGGCTTGCTCCTGAGTTTCTGCTCTGTCTGTCCATTCACACACAGTGCGTGTCTCAGCCCCGCCCCCCACTCTCTTCTCATTGGCTCACTGGCAGTGATTGACAGTAGCTGGAGCCAATGGCTCCCGCTTCTGTCTAAGCCAATGAGGAGGGAGAGACCCCAATGAGCCGCTGCTCTCGTGCCCATCACTGCATCAAGGTGGGGCTCAGGCAAGTATTAGGGGGGCTAGGGGGCTGCTGCACACAGAGGGTTTTTTACCTTTATGCATAGAATGCATGAAGGTAAAAAACCTTGAGCCTTTAGAACCACCTTAAGTATACCACTGTACATACTGGAACATCAAAATTATTTTGGTTAAAAAAAATAAAAATTTATCTCATACTGTGCATTCAGTGGCTGCCATTTGACCAGCTCATAAATTATTTTTAAAGATAACTTTCTGTAGTAAATACACGGTATCATGATGATCAGTTTCTACTGAGGTCTCCTTAAATAATATATGGTTATCTGCAAAGAGTATATTGGATTACTTTACAAAGTTCCTGCAAGGGTCAGGTAAGTTTAAATTTGTGAATCTACTAGAGATTGTTAACTGATCTCTGATTATCTTTGTGCTTATTCTCCAACATTTGGTTTTGAAAAAAAAAAAAGCATTTTTCCCTTTTAAACTGAAGACAGTCTTCATTGGTGGTAGGAAATGTAGACGTGATTTAACCACAGAAAAATCTTTCCTGTAATACATCTTTTTATAGACATGCACAGTCAGAGCGTTCCAAGCTGCATGTTTATTTCAGTGCAGGAGGAATGGGAAACACAGCTAGGAACTTTAGTTCTAGATTATTTGAAGAAAAGTACGGTAACTATAGATGACCAGCCTGGATGGTTTCTTTTTTTTTCTTGAGATTGGTCAGCAAGGTGTATTTGCTGGCATCCATAAACATGAGGATCACCATTTTATCTGGGCAATCAGCACATATCCATAGCTACCGTCAAGTGGAACTTTTTATGATGGAAGGATTAGAACTTCTGTCAGGTTCATACTTCTTGAAGTAGTAAATTGATGGTGCTATCCCAATGGGGCATCTAGATGATGAATAGGCTGCTCGCGTGAATTGAGGAACTGCTGGAACAGTTGCCTTGGACTATAGATGTAATAAGTGAGTGTGAAACTTGATGTGCCACACCAAAGGTTAGAGGTTTTGTTTCAATACAAATTAAAACAAATTAACTACAAAAAATATACATTTTATTCCAGGGTTTAATTCCAAAAAAAGAGGCTTTATTCCAAACCTATCACATGTGCTACAGCCAACATGCTTCAGGGACCACACATTGTCCCCTTCACCAGGGCTAAAAACATTATGTGATAATATAAGATCAGCCCAGAAAGTCTGATCGTTCACAGAGAGTGTGAGCTAAGTGTGGATGGAGGACTGGTGTCATCCCACCTACACACAGGATTGAATTAGTGAGTGTGGATTAAGAGGAGCCATCTCATATCCATATCTATTTATGTTATTGGATATTTGTAGTCCAGTAAGGTGCATGGTTTGGAAGGTGGTGGAGAGTGTTTTTTTTTGTTTCACTAAGTGGTGTTGAAGAAGGGAGCACTTTATCACATGTCCAAAGGATAATACACTATGATACGTTTTTCTTCGGAGGTATTCCTTATGAGGATGATGATGTGTTCACAGGATTCTTATGGGGAAAGTATTTTTAGAGTAAAGGTATTTAATTCAGCCACATTTAGTGGATTTTTATAAATTTTTAACACAAATACACATTGATTTTTGCTTTATTTTTTAGGATAATGCACCATATGTAGTTCTTTGTTCTTACCGAGTTACACGTGGACACAAAAGAATTAATTTTGGAGATAGATCAAGTTAAAATATGATATTTTGAAGATTCACAGACGCTGAGGAGGTTTTTTTGACTTTGGACTTTCTGGGGAGAAAGTGTGATTTTTTGTGCATCTAGAGTCTTTATTTAATTTAGATAGCAATTTTGTGGGTACACAGATTTTTATATTCATTAAACTGAATAGTGTATATAGAAAAATGAAAACACTATTATGATAAGTTTGCATGATTTTAATACACTGGACCATCAAATCTCAAGGTCACAACATGATTGCAGGATTTTAATACACTGGGCCATCAAATCTCAAGGTCACAACATAATTACAGATATTGGTTTCAGCATGTAAACGTGAGTGAGTTGTGAATATATAGCTTATATTCTTTCATTTATGCATAAAAGTATACATATTGCTATGTTAGATCTCTTTTTATGCACTATTTCAGTTTAGTAATTTTATAATATCACTTCACATTCTTAGCCCTGATGAAGGGGACGATGTTTGGGCACTGAAATGCGCTGGTAGAGCACCTGTGATACGTAAAACCTCTTTTGGAGCTCTAACGTTTGGTGTGATGCTTTGATTTTCACACTCATATATTAGGTTCATACGGCTGTCTGTGTCCCCTTTTTGGGATATTGACTTCCTGTCCTATGGATATGCCAGTCCAGTGAGGGAAAGTCTCTCCAAGGGCTGGAAAATTCTAATTTTACAATTGCCACTGAAACCAGTATCCCTTCTGTGAGATTGCCCTGTTCTCTAGCAACACCTGTAATTTTTTTAATTTTCTCTCTCTTTCCTGATTACAATCCTATTTGGAACACAAAGTGAGGGTTTACATTGCTGCCTACAAAAAACAACTGATGTCTGAGTGCAGAAAGCACAGGATATTTCACTCAGTTTTTATTTTATTTTAAAAATATATTGATTTTATAAGATACACCATAGTAGCTCACAAGACACAAGAATCACGTCTCATAACAGAAAGCACAGGATGCTTGCTATTACTACTTTTGATCAGAAACAACTCCTCAAGCTGGCCATACATCCATGGATTTTGTTTATATAGCGGGCTAAACCAAGGAACTCTAACAGATTCCTCCATCCACACTATACAGAGGGTATGGCTGAATCTCCCACTGCGGCTTTTGTATTCTGACAGGTGGCGCCACTGGCTTTTAGAATACCCGAACAGTGCCTGCATCTAACTGGATGCAGGCACTGTTTGAACAACATTTTTCCACCCTGCTCCTTCCATTTTTCAGTATAAGAATGGCGGTCTGGGTGTCACCGACAGGGCAGCCCACTGATTGAATTTCAGCCAGTTCATTTACATAGCATATGGCCAGCTTTAGTGTCCTATCTGAGATTAAAGTGGCTCTAAAGGCTTAAGGTTAAAAAAAGCTTAAAATATTCTGAGTTCAGGAAGGGGTGGGGCTGAGCTGCACTCTGTGTGTCTATGGACACACACAGCTGGCTTGGCTGCATGAGTGCATCCATAGCAAGTGGCTTGCTATAGTGGGCACACAGCAGAGGGAGGAGCCAGGAGCGCCACCAGGGGCCCCAAGAGGAGGTGGATTGAGGCTGCTGTGTGCAAAACCATTTCACAGAGCAGGTAGTATAGCTTGTTTGCAATTTTAAAAAAAGCAAAATATGAGATCACAATCACTTTAAAATTATTATGGAGGCCTTAACTTCTCAGCATGGGATGTAAGCCTCACCTACCTCCAACATAGTACCATGTCTGCCCACCATCTTGGGGATAGGTGACTGTCAGTGTACTAGCACCTAAACACCACTGAGATCTCCATGTCAAAGTCAAAGTCAGACTGGTTCACAGAGGAGTCATTTTTGACAACAGAGGAAATAACAGGGACCTTGTGGTAAGGAAACACTTTATATCAGAGTGAAGCATGGGTTCCCTTTAAACTTTGTTACAGTTTGCTGTTTCCAGGACATTACCTGTTTGGTAACAAGAGATAAGAGGGTACTAGAGGAGCAAACGTAAGCCAGTCATAGATGGTTTGAATCTTAGCCAGTTCAGAAGCATCATGGATGGCTTTAGTTTTCTATTCTGATCACCAAATCTAGACAATGTAATTGTTATCTAGTGTGACGTTATTTTCTGAATTGTACAAACATTTTACATGCTCCTTGAACTCTGGCCTACACTACAAATCACTGTCTCTATGGAAACC